CTTCATAAACAATCTTAACTCATTCTGTGGCGCTGATAAAAAAAAAAAACATTCCAAAGATAGATTTGGAAATCAGAAAATGCAGATACTTCAAACAATGCTAATTTAATATTGTTTATTCTTGTGAATGTGTAAAGACATGCACATACTGTGTGTGTGTGTGTGTGTGTGTGTGTGTGTGTGTGTGTGTGTGTGTGTGTGTGTGTGTGTGTGTGTGTGTGTGTGTGTGTGTGTGTGTGTGTATGTGTGTGTGTGTGTGTGTGCTCACCTATTTGTACTCACCTATTTGTGTCTGCAGGATCGAGCATTGACTCTTAGATCCCGCCTTTCGAGCCATCGGTTGTTTACAGTAATGATTCCAGTTCTATTTCCCCATCATACCTAGTTTTAAAATTATGAAGAGAGTTTGCTTCCACCACCTGTTCCTGAAGTGCATTCTATTTTCCCACTACTCTCACGCTAAAAGAAAACTTCCTAACATCTCTGTGACTCATCTGAGTTTCCAGCTTCCATCCATGTCCCCTCGTTCTGTTACTATTCCGTGTGAACATTTTGTCTATGTCCACTCTGTCAATTCCCCTGAGTATTTTATACGTTCCTATCATATCCCCCCTCTCCCTTTTTTTCTGGCGTCGTAAGGCTCGGTTCCTTCAGGCGCTCTTCATACCCCATCCCTTGTAACGAGCCTCGTTGCAAACTTCTAAACCTTTTCCAGTTTTCTTATGTGTTTCTTCAGATGGGGACTCCATGATGGGGCGGCATACTCTAAGACTGGCCTCATGTAGGCAGTGTGTGCGTGTGTGCTCACCTATTTGTACTCACCTATTTGTACTTACCTAGTTGTGCTTGCGGGGGTTGAGCTCTGGCTCTTTGGTCCCGCCTCTCAACTATCAATCAACTGTTAATAAGTATTTTTGTTTTACCTCCACACACACACACACACACAGGAAACAGCCCGTAACAGCTGTCTAACTCCCAGGTATTTACTTACTGCTAGGTAGCAGAGGCATCAGGGTGAAAGTAACTCTGCCCATCTGTTTCCGCCGGCGCCGGGATCGAATCCGGACCCTACGATTTCGAATCCTAAGCGCTGTCCACTCAGCCACAGGCCCCTTCCATGTTAAAATGTGCATGTGTGCGCGCGACCTGTATTAAGTACAGGTTCACAATAAAACCCACAATAATATCTATAAGAAAATCTTTGCAGCAGGGAGGTGGGATTGAACCTGCGTCCCAGTTTAAAAAAAAAAATTATCTAAATAAATCTACCTCTCGCTGCCCACGAGTAGCCATAGATACCCGGGTCACTCAGCGCCAGTTGACGACTGATTGTCATCTCTCTTTGCATAGATAAACATCCCTAGTCGAGACGATTAGGCCATGTGGCCTCCCTCATGCCTACGCTAAGTTTAGCAAACAGATAAATGTTATTATCTTAAATCAAGGCAATGTGCATTCCTGGCCTGAGACACCTGACTATGCAAGGGGTGTGGGGGGTGTGGGGGGTGTGGGGGTGTGTGGGGGTGTGTGGGGGGAAGGTTTGGGGTTTAGGGGTTGGGGGTTGGGGGTTGGGGAGGGGGCTAGGAGGCAACAAGGAAGGGGTGTGAAGCTTGCTTCATGTTGCTCATTCTTGTTCTGTTGTGTTCTGAGGGAGCAGATCTACCATGCCGGCTCTTGCACACACACACACACACACACAGGTCCTCACGGCCGACCGGTGAGCGTCCAGGCTTCGCAAGATACGGACCTCGTACTGGCACACCCACACGCTGATCACACCCTCGGTTTGATTCTAGGCCGAGGCCGAAACAAATGGGCACTATTTCTTTCAGGTGATGCCTCTGCTTATTTAGGAGGAAATAGGTGCCTGGGAGTAAGACTAACCAAGGCATTGTGCACCATATATGTCATAACAGTTGTGGAACAGGTTTGCGCCAATGGGAATTCCTTATCTTGTAAATCACAACACGAAGCATTAACAGAAGGTATAGAGGTGTATACCCAAACAAATACCAGAGCTGAGAGGTACGAGTTACTAGGTAAGATTAAAATAAATCTACCAAGTCACTGAACAAAGATACGCATTATTGGAGACATGATCACTGCGTAGATGTTTATAAAAGAGGTATGATTAGTCAGATGTTTCGAAAGCGCTTCCTCAGTGTAATAATAACACGTAATTGAATCGTGGTGGAAACACAGACAGATGAAGTCAACAGAACACAGTTTTTTAAAGTATATTGATAAAGAAACATTAAGTTAGTGCTTTAAGCCTGGGTCAGGATGCAATAAGTACTTACGATACGAAACATGTACATCTGTCTCCAATCCTGGCGGCTTAGTTTACGTTAATGGAGTAGTTTAGGAGCCACAAAGCTTAACGAGTGTGTCAACAACCTTGTTCGTTCAATCTAAATTAAGCTCTAAAATTAACAAAAAGTTAAGAAATGAACTTTTAATTTAAAAAAAAAAATATATATATATAAAAAAATACTTACAATCCGCGATTTTTTTTTCGCCTGAATCATTCTACAACAAAAATAATAAAATTTGGCTGCAAAGTTTTTAATGCTCTTGAACTGTTAAATAAAAAATAATAAAAATCGAACTAAGAAACACATTTAGGGAAATTAACACTCACTGAGATCCTGTAGTCACCTTCACTGCCATCGGCGCCTCGTCAGCCTCTGCCAAGCACAAAATCAAAACTTAAAAAAAAAAATGCGAAGGTTTCAAAAGGCAGTTAAATCACTCGCTCAGAGAGAATATGATCACAGCATACAAGATACAGAGAGGAATAAACTCCCTAGACAAGAACACATAGATGGATGAAATGCCAAAGTGTGGCAGAAATATGAGAAAATACTCTTACCCTGAACTGGTGGCCAAGTGGAATGTACTTAAGGAAGAAGTTATAGAAAGTTTGACAATATTGTAATGATTTTAATAAAAAAAAAATATACTAGTCAATTTGTTAGAGCCCCTTTAACCTAACTGAAAATTGATTAGAACCACATATCTGGTGCCACATATCTGGTGAGCAAATGTGTCCTGGTCTGCAGGTGTGTTCAGGTTTGCAGATGTGCTGCAATGAGAAGATGTGTTTGGGGATGCAGATATCTTGGGTTATCATAGATGACTATGCACCACAAGGGAAGGATACGAGTCATAGAACTGGAATATGAGGACAAGCAGCTGGGATATGAGGACAAGGAGCTGAGGTATGAGGACAAGGAGCTGAGGTATGAGGACAAGCAGCTGGGATATGAGGACAAGCAGCTGGGATATGAGGACAAGCAGCTGGGATATGAGGACAAGGAGCTGAGGTATGAGGACAAGGAGCTGAGGTATGAGGACAAGCAGCTGGGATATGAGGACAAGGAGCTGAGGTATGAGGACAAGGAGCTGAGGTATGAGGACAAGCAGCTGGGATATGAGGACAAGGAGCTGAGGTATGAGGACAATGAACATGGATATTAGCCCCTGGCGTGAATGAACGCTGCCCAACCCCCCCTTTGAACCATAGAGGATTGAACATTAATCCCGGAAGGTACGAAAATCCCTTCATAAACCCAACCATTGCAAGACGGTGGGGGATTTTTCTCTGCAATCCTTCTGTGGGTTACTTGACGTCGCCCCAACGGGTCTAACCATCTACATGCTAGTTCTAATTCAAGATTAAACACATAAAACTTTGCTTAGGCCCCTCTATGAAGTTCGGATAATTATGAAATCAATTATTCTGAACATAACTGCTAATTATTTTGATGGCAAGCTAATTAAACTCCTTCAGATGAATTCAAATACGTCAGTTACCAGTTGGAATTCAAAGGACAAATTTTCACCACTCGGCAATTTTGGGACCAAAAAGACTGGTGATATTTATCAGTAAATATTGGTGACCGTTGGTGACTGTATTGTGATTGTATTGTGACTGTATTGTGACTGTATTGGTGTCTAATTCTTAATGTTGTGAAGCCTTTGATAAGAATGATCAGTCAAATGTTGCTCAATGATCAGACGGTGCGTACTCACCTGGACCTGCTGATCTAGATGTACACAAACCAAGTGAGTGCATGCAGGGCCGAGCTCAGCTCCTGGCCCCCAACCTTACGTACATTCTTAGTTTACTGCATTGGCTTAGTGCAATGATTTATCGTGCAATGGCTCAAGTTTCAATCATAATTTGATTTAAAACTTTGTTGTAATGCTGGAAATGCTTTTTCTAACATCCTTATGATGCATTTTTGTCTCTAGTTTTTATTAAATAAACTTTTCTAACTTGTAGTTATGTTGTTTCTAGCTAGGCAAAATTGCTTTCGTTTTTCTCAAATCTTCTTAGTATCTTATATGTTGTTATCATATCTCCCCACACTCTCTCTCCTCTCCTCCAGTATTCTGAGGTCCAAATTCCACTTATGTTTCCTTGTAGCTCAAGCCTTTCAGCTCAGGTGCTAGCCCTGTTGCATATCTTTGATTCCTCTCTAGTTTTGACTTGTCCATTTGCCTGTTAAAGGTTCCAAGCCAGGAATGTGTATTCACCTATCTGTATTCACCCATTTGTGGCTGCAGGATCGAGCTTTAACTCTTGGACTCGGCCTTTCTAACCGTCGGTTCTCTAATGTTTGGACTCCCGACCTAATTTTAACCAAACCTAACATAACCTAATCTAACCAAACATATCTGACAGCCAATTCAAACCTAACCCTTTCCAATCTAACCTAACATAATCTAATCTCACCTATCCTAACTTTACCCAACCTAATCAAACCTATCCTAACTTTACCTAACCTAACCAATCCTAACTTTACCTAACCTAATCTAATTTACCTAATGTAGTCTAATTCAACCTATCCAACCCTATTGTAATCAAATCTATCCTAACTTAACCTCAACTAACCTAAACTAACCTAACCTGATGTATCCTAACCCAGCCCAACCTACCCTAACCTAACAGACCTAACCTAACTAATACTTTGCAGTAGCTTGGAATAGTGTTGATGGCAAACAATGCATTTAGTGATGCAAACAATGCACTTAGTGATGCAAACAATGCACTTAGTGATGCAAACAATGCACTTAGTGATGCAAACAATGCACTTAGTGATGCAAACAATGCACTTAGTGATGCAAACAATGCATTTAGTGATGCAAACAATACATTTAGTGATGCAAACAATGCATTTAGTGATGCAAACAATGCATTTAGTGATGCAAACAATGCATTTAGTGATGCAAACAATGCATTTAGTGATGCAAACAATGCATTTAGTGATGCAAACAATGCATTTAGTGATGCAAACAATGCATTTAGTGATGCAAACAATGCATTTAGTGATGCAAACAATGCATTTAGTGATGCAAACAATGCATTTAGTGATGCAAACAATGCATTTAGTGATGCAAAACAATGCATTTAGTGATGCAAACAATGCTTTTAATGCAAACAATGCACTTAGTGATCAAAAGTGATGATGCATTTTAATGCAAACAATGCATTTAGTGATGCAAACAATGATGCAAGTAATGCATTTACCAATCAGCGGCTGGAAAGACTTCCATGCAATATATATAAAATTTAATTTTTTTCTGTTATCTTTCTAATGAGAAATTCAAAACTTTCAAATTACAAATTTAAATCTTTCTAATGAGAAATTCAAAACTTTCAAATTAAAAATTTAAAACTTTCTAATGAGAAATTTAACACTTTCAAATTACAAATCTAGATATTTCTAATGACAAATTAAAATCCTGTTAACTAATTAAATCTAAACAATCCACTAGGTTATCTTGAGATGATTTGATTTTGATTTTGATTTGATTGAATCAAAATCAGGTGACCTAAGAAGGATCTCAGTTTTCTTAATAGTTACTTATCTGACAAATTTAAAGAAACTTCATTCAATAAATTGAAATTTATATATAAATTGAATTTTATTTTCATTGAATTGCCACTTGTGCCAAAAAGTTAAAAGCTAGAAAGTTTTTTTTTAATTCTTTATGGTATTTTAAAGTGCTTGAAACAAATTTTAATTAAATAATAATATTTCCTCTATTTAAAACACTTGATTTTCTGTCCATTAAATTATGAATTTTTTCCATTAAATTCACCCCCAGGGGTTTCATACCATAGTAATATTTTTATTATTTCCAAATAAAGTAGACTAGTACAGGGAAGTATCAAGAGAAAGTAAGAGAAAGTAAGGAAGGAAAGGAAACTGTCAGGGGGGGGGGGGGAGCACCAAGCCATTATGACTATATAGCACTTGTAAGGGATCAGGATAAGGGATCAGGATAAGGATTTGGGATGGGACGGGAAGGAAGGAATGGTGCCCAACCACTTATGGACGGTCGGGGATTATTGGTTTATATATTTGGGATAATAAATTTGCTCAAAATTATTATCATATGTGCTCACCTTTGCAGGTAAAGGAGCGTGGACCACCAGGGGCCAGATTCACGAAGCAGTTAGGCAAGTACTTACGAACGTGTACATCTTTTCTCAATCTTTGGCGGCTTTGTTTACAATTATTAGACAGTTAATGAGCTCTGAACCACCAGGAGGCTGTTTATAACAATAACAACAGTTGATTGGCAAGTTGTCATGCTTGTAAACTGTTTAATAAATGTAAACAAAGCCGCCAAAGATTGAGAAAAGATGTACTCGTTCGTAAGTGCTTGCGTAACTGCTTGCGTGAATCTGGCCCCAGGACCTTCGGCTCAGACAATGGAAGTCATCACTTGATCTGTAGAGTAAACTGTCTTAAGCAAAAACCCTCAGAACCGCTTGGGGAGTGTCGGAAGGATTAACATAAGCAAACATATCGAGGAGAGATCTAGTTTACGTTAAGGTGATAGATGGTGGTAGATGGTGATAGATGGTGATAGATTGTTGGGGGGAGGAGAGAGGAGCGGGAGAATGTGTATTTGAGTGACGTATAGGAAAGGAGGAAGAAGGGGGAGGAAAGGATAGCAGGAGGAAAGGATAGCAGGAGGATTTGAGGATAGCGAAGAGTGAGTGTGTGTGAGGAAGCTATGAGAGTGGTGAAGCTATAAGTGAGTGTGTATATATGTGTATATGTATTATATAAATCACGCACGTTACTCGAAGCCTACGCTAAAGAGTCACTCCTTCTTTGCAACACTGCAATGAAACAAATGTTACCCCGAGCAGTGTAATCACGCTTAGCTTAGAAGGAGACATGCCAGAGACATTAAAAATCACGCTAATGGAACTCACTAAACCGTTACATCTTCGGAGACAACTTTGGCTCAATTACTCATGGCAGAGAAGAACACAAATCAAGTTCAGAGTGACCCACGTAATATACTCACCCACGTGTTACTCACGAATATACCCAACATACCCACTCAAGGATAATTCTTCCCAATCAATAATCCAACATATAACCTATCGATTAGTTGGTTAGGCCTTGAGACTGGTGTAAAACCCTCTTCTTTACCAGGATTTACAGCAAGCATAAGAAATATTGCCGGAACAACCGTGGACATCTTCAAGAGGAAACTAGATATATTCCTCCAAGGAGTGCCGGACCAACCGGGCTGTGGTGGGTATGTGGGCCTCGAGGCCGCTCCAAGCAACAGCCTGGTGGACCAAACTCTCACAAGTCAAGCCTGGCCTCGGGCCGGGCTTGGGGAGTAGAAGAACTCCCAGAACCCCATCAACCAGGTATATGTGGGCCTGCGGGCCGCTCCAAGCAACAGCCTGGTGGACCAAACTCTCACAAGTCAAGCCTGGCCTCGGGCCGGGCTTGGGGAGTAGAAGAACTCCCAGAACCCCATCAACCAGGTATCCAGAACCCCATCAACCAGGTATATGTGGGCCTGCGGGCCGCTCCAAGCAACAGCCTGGTGGACCAAACTCTCACAAGTCAAGCCTGGCCTCGGGCCGGGCTTGGGCAGTAGAAGAACTCCCAGAACCCCATCAACCAGGTATCAACCAGGTATCAACCAGGTATCAACCAGGTATCAACCAGGTATCAACCAGGTATCAACCAGGTATCAACCAGGTATCAACCAGTTTAACCAACAATTTGATCACTATTGTAGCTAACTGAAATAAAACAAAAGTTGCATATAAAGAAATAGACGCGAATGAGACATGCAAATGAAGGACTAGATCTATCTTGAGATGATTTCGGGGCCTTTGTCCCCGCGGCCCGGTCCTCGACCAGGCCTCCACCCCTAGGAAGCAGCCCGTGACAGCTGACTAACACCCAGGTACCTATTTTACTGCTAGGTAACAGGGGCATAAGGTGAAAGAAACTCTGCCCATTGTTTTTCGCCAGCGCTTGGGATCGAACCCAGGACCACAGGATCACAAGTCCAGCGTGCTGTCCGCTCGGCCGACCGGCTCCCAGATGGAAGATCAATAAAATCAGATCAATCCCTGAGAGCTCGCAGTCGCTAAGTTGGGAATCTTATTCATCACCGACCTACCACAACGTACTCATCTACCTACCTCAAAGTACTCACCTTCCTCAAGGTACTCACCTACCTACCCAGGGGAGCCGGTCGGCCGAGCGGACAGCACACTGGACTTGTGATCCTGTGGTCCTGGGTTCGATCCCAAGCGCCGGCGAGAAACAATGGGCAAAGTTTCTTTCACTCTATGCCCCTGTTACCTAGCAGTAAATAGGTACCTGGGTGTTAGTCAGCTGTCACGGGCTGCTTCTTGGGGGTGGAGGCCTGGTCGAGGACCGGGCCGCGGGGACACTAAAACCCCGAAATCATCTCAAGATAACCTCAAGATAACCTACCTAACTCAATGTGATAGAAAACAAAGAAATAGAAAACAAAGAAAGAGATCTAAGGGGGAACTAAACTACATTAACCATCACCACTCAGTTCAAGAGCACATTAAGACACTGTGCTGTGTCACACGTGTGTACAAATAGCCTGCCACATACACAATTTTTTTGTTTACACTGTTTGAGTAAACAAAATGCGTACACTGTTTTGTTTACAGCCGGGTATAAGCGTAAGCTGGTATAAGGTATAAGCGTAATAAGCGTTTACATAAGCTGGATATAAGTATATTCTGACTCCTGTAAACAGGCTGAAAGGCTTTCCCTTCCCTATGACTCGTGGTAAGCCTAACCCTACTACTTTTCTCCTTGGAACAAAACCCGCCAAATGGTTTACAACCAGGCACCCAATTACTGCTGGGTGAACAGGAGCGAACAGTTAAGGATTGGCGCCCAGTCAATCCTCCTTGGTCACGAACAGAAATTACGACCTGACCTCAAGAAGATAAATATGGGACGTAGAGAGGCTAAGCGTAGCCGGGTCACACCCGAAAGGTCCCGGGTTCGACTCCCTCTGTTGGAAAAAAGCGTTTGGGCCACGTTTCCTTTCACCTGAGACCTCTATTCACTTAGCGGTAAACACACAACGGGGAGGTGGGCGACTGTTGGAGTTTAATAAGCATTCAGACAACAAACAGCTTAAATTGGATCTACTGGTCTGTTTATGTTGGCAAACAACTTGAAACATTACAAACGAAATCTTTGTAAAGTTTCAAGCCCACAGGCGCTGTTACAGACAAAGGTACAGGAAAGGTGCAGCTGTAGCGCTTAGTAAGCAGCTGGGTGAAACACTGACAGCTGACAACAGGGCCGTGACAATGACAGCTGACACTAGTAGATGGAAGACCCTCTTACAGCTGATAAGGGGCCTCTAGTCATCCCCTCTATAAGGGTGACATTTGATAAAGACCTAATGGGCGAATCGTCTCTACCAATAAAGTATTCACACCACTTAACCCTACTCTGCATCAAGTGCTCTTCTGAACTTTAAAGAATATGGAGAATCAACACTTAAGATAACTCTAAGTTCACACAGAGATCTAAGAAAGTTTTCTCTAGGCAAAACATCATCTATGGATTCAATATCTTGCTGATATTGAATTCATTAAGAGCATTAGCCTCGAACCATTACAGCGAAAAACCTCCCGACTGCCTCCTTTTTCACTGGAGGCAAGTAATTCATTTTCTTCTAATGGGTGAAAAAACTCCAACCTAACCTTTTTTTTGTGTTGACAGGAATGACATAAAGACGATGAACAACAGAAACCTCAGCTTGTGAGAGCAAACTAACCAGTTACGAATGCCGTCACATCTTGATCTTCAGTTTGATAAACCACTTCAAAACACTTCAAAATATATAAAAATACTTCAAAAACACTACAAAAACCACTTCAAAACACTTCAAAATACTTCACAACACTTCAAAACACTTCAAAACACTTCAAAACACTTCAAAACACTTCAAAACACATAAAAATACTTAAAAAACACTTCAAAACACTACAAAAACACTTCAAAATACTTTACAATACTGCAAAACACTTCAAAACACATAAAAATACTTAAAAAACACTTCAAAACACTACAAAAAC